ATTTCAGTAAGTCTTTCTAGTGAGTTATTGAAACTGAGGCTGGGTGGTCTTAGGAACCCCCAAACTTGCAGTTGGTGTCAGTAGCAGCATCGCAGTTTAGCTAATTCCGAGTGTGTCGAGAGAAGAGACAGAACCTAGGACGAGACACTCAGGATTAGCATTTTCCAGATCCTTGGCCGTTTGTGGGTTTCCCAGTCCTGGACAAGAATCTTGGCCTGGGGGCTGGTGTGCCCCTTCCAGGCTGCTTCTGTAAAGAGTGCAGGCGTGTGTTCAGCAGTGCAGCCTGAAGCTATACTAGGTGCAGTGCTTTTACTGGACATTGTTACTGACGATCTGGTGAATCATCTTAGAAAGACTTTCAGCATCCGTGCGTCTCATCTGCAGGTGGGACCCAAAACACAAGCGAGTGTGTCGGGCTCTGTGTTCACCCAGGATGCCCCCAGGCCCCTTCCTCTTCCTGGTGTTTCCCAGTATTGAATTCCCTGCACTGGCACTGGAGGGCAGAGATGAGAACTCTGGTAAATGCCTTCCTGGGCTGTTTGTTGGCATTTCATAACGAAACGTCTTCTCTCTGGGAGGCACACCTCACCCCACACACAGCCCCCATTGGCGAAGCTCTGTTGCAGTTTGTTAGAGAGCAGGCCTGTCTGCCCTCCTTGCTTGAAGTGGGTGGGGTGAAGGAAGCAGCCCTCTAGGGTGAGGAAGCTGCACGGTCTCCGTGGTCCTTGTGCTGAGAGTTCACCTCAAGACCGCGATTTTTTTTTTTTTTTTCCCTTTTTGTCTTTTTTCGTGACCGGTAACGGGATCGCAACCCTCTGTGCCGCGCCCACACCTCGCTCAGCCAGTGAGCGGCCGGTCTCTATGTGGGATCCAAACCCTCGGCGGGAGCACCGCCACGCCCCCAAGCGGCGCACTGTAGCAGTGCACCACCGGGCCGGCCCCCGCGATTTCTTTTAAATTGTGGGAATCCTTAGTGATGTCCCATCCCCACAGGCACACACACTCTGAGCCAATTAAAATTGCTTTCAAATCATCTATGCCGTGATGAGGAACTCTACTGTGTTTGTAAAGCCTTTTTGTTTGGGTAAACTGGAGTCTCCTCTGTTGAAGTGGAAATTTTTTCTTGAATCTGGAAATCTTTTTTTTTGAGACGTCTGGCACTGTTTGGGAGATGATGCCTCTCTAAAGTATTATGCTGATTCTTTGTCTCTCATTTTTCTTGTCCTATCACTAAGCCCACTTGAGGAAATAGGAAGCATTTTTTGTTTCTAAAGGAAAAGGCATTTAGTGAAAGGGAAAGTGTGTGTTTTTCAGAATCATAGTCAGAAGCTGGCTTAGCTCAGCTACCCTATTACTGAGGCATAGCCTCTCTGAATATTATTCATATCGTATAACTTCGTATAATGTATGCTATACGAAGTTATTACGCCATCAGCCTGCACAGTGTGAATTAGAGCAGAAGTGCCTGATGGAGAAGGCCACTTAGGGTGCTTTGCAGGCCTGGCCCAGCAGCAGCGGTGAGGAGAAGGCATCTGCAGGAAGTATGACCAGCACTCGCCGAGGACTGGAGAACAGATGAGCGAGCAGTTTTGAGCCTCCGAGGTTTTGAGCTTTGGTGAAAAGAGAATCTGCGGGGACTGTCAGAGGAGAAGATGACAAGGACAGTGAGCTTGACTTTACATGTGTTAAATTTGAGCTAGGAGGAAAGATAAGCAGAGCATGCAGGAATGCTCCGCTATGTGCATCATCTCGGAAGACACTGCTGGACGCAGACGGGGCAGGTAGACGGCGCTGGTGGTGCAGTGTGCCTGAGGATGCAGGAGGAGAGGGGAGGCAGTGTTCGCACGTTCAGCAAAGAGATCAAAATGGCCGTGCGGGGAGGACAGACAGCCCCTGGAATTGTGGCTTTCCAGAGGTATCTGGGAAGAATGATGGGACAGAAACCAGATTTCATGTGGCCGAGTTGAAGTCAGAAGCAGATCAGAGAAGAACTGGCAAGTGTCCAAAAAAGTAGAGAAAGAGGAGTGACGTGAGAAGTTAGCTAAGTGCTGCAGGGTCTGCTTGGTTTTTCCATGGACAGACAGACGTACGGCACAGCGGTCATGCTCATCCACCCCGGCCTCATGGCCAGCCCTGTGCTGCATCCCCTCGCATGTCCCTGACTCACTGATGGAATTTGGGATGGTTTGTATCATCTTCTTTGTA